ATATTTATGGGCAGCTGTCAGCTCTTAGTTTGACTCATCTGTAACAGCTTATAAAGTCAATGATAGTATGAACTTTAAGTATATAAGCTATGCCAACAGATAGGTCAAAATAAGGGCTGACCCCACAAATTTTGACATATATACAAGCTGTTACAAATTCGCTTCTCACTACAGGGATCTCGGAAACGATAAGAGCTACGAAGTCGCTTAAATGGGGGCAAAGTTGCGTAATCAGGGGACCAACAATATGCCTCTAAAAAATCAAGGCTAACATGATTAGTTTTCGAAATATTTGAAAAAACCGAAATTTTGGAAATCCGTTTTGTTTCATTTCAGCCTTGTTTGAGGAGATATTGAAAAACGAAGAACACTTTCTCATGGCCACTTTTTGCCCCCTATCGAATGGCACAATCAATTTTTATATGTAACGTTTCGTGTCTCCAGGACCATCATCAACTTCATTTTTTTAAATATGACCCTGGCAATTTTATTACATTTTTTGCAAGCCTTCATGACCCCCAATACCCTAACCAGATTCAGACGTTTTGTCTCAAAAAATTCATCTGCAGTATATTTGTTCCAAATGTATCTAAATTTTTTTATTTAGATTTCTTTGTTTATTGAATTATCGTACACTGTAAGTGTCGTTAGACCCTGTGAAATCCATCTAGTTATTTAAACTATTACCACCACGCGCTACAATAGAACATTTATTATTATTAACTATTATCATCACTTATGTATGACCACATAACTCAATAAGTTGTTGCGTCAAAATTGAAACATTGTTACAATTTTAATTTTATTATGACAAATTAATTCTTAAAAATGCATATGAACAACCAAAACGCCAACTGAATATTATTCTTTAAAAAATTTCAGTAAATGTTCAAAAACATTTTCATTTTGGCAAAGGTTAAAAATGAAGATCAGCATAATATTATCGAAATTTGTTATATCTGTAACTGCAACTGTGAAAGAGCATATCAGATGTATTTGTATGAATATCCTGAAAAAAATAGATCGGAATTTGTTTGAATTTTGAGCACTCGAGAAGCCTAGAAATAACTATGGACATGGGAAAAAAACTTTAATAATGTTTTATTTTAATGCGTGGTGGTAATAGTTTGAATAACTAGATGAATTTCACAGGGTCTAACTACATTTACAGTGTACGATAATTCAATAAACAAAGAAAACTAAATAAAAAATTTAGATAAATTTGAAACGAATAAACTGAAGATGAATTTTTTGAGACAAAACATCTGAATCTGGTTCGAGCTGAGGCGGTACAGTATTGAGGGTCATGAAGGCTTGCAAAAAATGTAATAAAATTTCCAGGGTCGTATTTAAAAAAATTAATTTGATGATGGTCCTGGAGACACGAAACGTTACGTATAAAAATTTATTACGTCATTCGATAGAGGGCAAAAAGTGGCTATGAGAAAGTGTTCTTCTTTTTTCAATATCTGCTCAAACAAGGCTGAAATAAAACAAAAACGGATTTCCAAAATTTTGTCTTTTTTCAAATATTTCGAAAACTAATCATGTTAGCCTTGATTTTTTAGAGGCATAGTGTTGGCCCCCTGATTATGCAACTTTACCCCCATTTAAGCAACTTCGTTGCTCTTATCGTTTCCTTATCCCTGTAGTGAGAAACGAATTTGTAATAGCCTGTATATGCCATTAGGATCCAGATTATAACAATTTAAGCAATGAATTACTTCTTTTTGAAATACCTTTCCTTAGATCTGATCTCATCGATCCTGCTGACCCTGGCCATGGATGGTCCAACTTCCCCTAAAATTGTGGGCAATGTCAACAATCAGACAAACCCTTTTGTACTTTATAACTTGGACCCAATATTAGGAATTAAAAAATGTAATAATTTTTATATATAGTCCATTGAAAAGTTACATTTGGGGTTGCAAAAGGGATTAGTGTAAAGTTAAATCCATGTTTGTGGGGTCGCAACCCTTGTGCATCGGCCGCCAGCTTGTAAAAAGGGCTGCGAATGGTTTTTATACTACTACATACTATATCGGGCACACTATTCGTCGCACAGAAAATTTGTAAAAACATTTTTTGTTGCAAATTAAATCCTCTACAACTTTGGTTCCGTAACTTTTAGTCGTAGAACCAAAAATAACAAAGTTATTAACGAAGATAGTTAAAAATTTGGGAACGAATTTTCTTTTGGTCATTATAACTTTTTTTCTGGTCATTTTACAAAAAAATTACATCAAAGCATTTTGATAGAGGGGTTTTCAAGGAATAATTTCCATTACAAACTTTTTTCAAATTTTATTTATTTATTAGGGTTTTACAGCGATGCGAAACTTACACTATTCTCCAGTACTAGTAAGTATACATTAATATGAATGATTAGGCATAGGAGGCGTCCTTCAAAGTTTTCTTGATAATGAGAAGAACAAGGCTAAGTTCATTGAACTTCTCAAAACTTCATTGTCGGAGGTGGGTTTCAGTGTCGACCAAGCAGAATCAGATGCAGATACCCTCATCGTTCGCTCCGCTCTTGCTGCATCCCAATCGTTCGACTCAGTCACTATTGTCGCCGAAGATATCGATATTCTTGTCTTACTCACGGCATTTGGAAGAACACATTCAAATGTATTTTTTTTTAACCATCAAACGGATGTACAGCCGAACAATTATATTGTCCATCAAGTTTTATGTAAGGACAAGTCACTGTGGATAATCTGTTGTTTCTCCATGCCTTCTCAGGATGTGACATGACTTCAGAAGCTTACAACATCGGTAAAATGAAATTTCTCACAACTCTGGAGACACGTCCTGAGTTAGCTAGTGGAACAGTGTTATTCCTCAATGAGAGAGTCGACCCTAATCTGGTCACTGCCTTTGGCAAACGTTTTTTCATCTCTTTATATGGTGGCAATAAAGATGATGATTCTCTGGACATTCTTAGATATAAACGATTCGCCAAGTCAGTGACAAAGAATACATTTAATTTGTCTTCACTTCCTCCAACACAAGACACAACCCGCTTGCACAGCGTCCGAGTCTATCATCAGGTCCAGTCGGGGCTCGGGAATTACAACGACCCTTAAGATTGGATCCGGAAAAAGTATGGACAAATATTGATGCCTGTTCAAAGTTCAAAACCTCCAGCACCCCCTTAGCTTCTAAAGTTGATATTTTGCCGATGCAAAGAAAACTGTGGACAAAGAATGTGTGACTCTACCTTGTAGGGGGTGGGAAAAAGAGTCAATAATTAATTAACAACATTGCAGTGTCAATAATTAAAATGTTTCTTATAAAAATAATGGAAAGATGAGAGAAAACTATGCCTAATCATTCATATTAATGTATACTTACTAGTACTCGAGAATAGTGTAAGTTTCGCATCGCTGTGAAACCCTAATAAATAAATCAAATTTGAAAAAAGTTTGTAATAGAAATTATTCCTTGAAAACCCCTCTATCAAAATGCTCTGATGTAATTTTTTTGTAAAATGACCAGAAAGTTATAATGACCAAAAGAAAATTTGGTCCCAAATTTTTATCTATTTTCGTTAATAACTTTGTTATTTTTGGTTATACGACTAAAAGTTACGGTACCAAATTTGTAGAGAATTTAATTTGCAACAAAAAATGTTTTTACAAATTTTCTGTGCGACAAATAGTTTGCCTGATACATAGTCCAAGCATTATAGAGAAATGCTTACAGAAATTATTACCTGGACAAAAAAAATATGACCGTATAGAAAATTAAATTTTAAATTGAGTTTCTTGTTCTTTAAACACGATCCAAAATGGCGAACATGGTTAAAAAAAATCGCAGTTTCCAAAAACGGTTTTTCTAAAATAACTAAAGAAATATAGCACCAATTGAAAAATTTTAAATGAGAAAGTTGTAGGTTTTAAAAAGGTCTATCGACTGATTTTTTGTAAGTATCGCTTGCTTTGTTACTTTTCGAGATATATCGAAAAAACCGTTAAAATTCTTCTCTTTTCTCTTCTTCTATAACTCGTTTACATTTACGTGCCCATATTTGCTATTTACTGCAAGCATAGCCCGTGGAAAGCCAAAAAAGTACATTTTTGAAAATTTTAAAGATATTATTTTTGATATCGATTTTTTGAAAAAAAGGCGCTCTCGAAAATTGGCTAGATCTTCTCAGCGGATACACCTACAGTGACGATTTTCGGTTTATTTTCTTCGTAGTTATATTATCATGCTGTTAAAAAATGTTGACGATTTTATTAATTTTAAGGATCAAAAAATGACTGAAAAAGTTGCATTTATTTGGGTATGTTTTTTTTCAAATAACTATTTCAATTTTTATTTTATGAAAATGACTTTTAAAGAAAGAAACTGCTGACATTTTTTCACGAAATAAAAAAAAAAGTTTTTCTACGACCTTCTGGAGCCAATAATTTTTTTACTTAAAAAAAATTTTAAGGACACAATTAACATTTTACCTTTATCTCGAAGCAATCGATACTTACAAAAAATCAGTCGATAGATCTTTTTAAAACCTACAACTTTCTCATTTAAAATTTTTCAATCGGTGCTATATTTTTTTAGTTATTTTAGAAAAACCGTTTTTTGCAACTTTGCGATTTTTATTAACCATGTTAATGTTAGTTAATTAACCATATTATTAACCATGTTTGCCATTTTGGATCGGGTTTAAAGAGCAATAAATTCAATTTAAAATATAAGTTTCTATACGGTTATATTTTATTTGTCCAGGTAATAATTTCTGCAAAAACATTAATCCGTGACAGAATGCTTGGACTAATCGTAAGTAGTAGTATAAAAACCATTTGCAGCCCTTTTACAAGATGGCGGACCATGCACAAGGGTTGCGACTCCACAAACATGGATTTAACTTTACACTAACCCCCTCTTGACATCTAAAAAAAAATTGCGTGCTCCGACTTTTGCACGCTAAGCCCATTTTTTGGAATTAATAATATTACTATCACTATGCAAGCGCTGCTATCACAAGAAACTTAATATTTAAGTTCAGTTAATAGTTCTATAGCTGACATGCACTTAGTATAATTCATAACCCTACAATTAAGTTTCAGCTGTATTTTTGTTATTCTAATGAAAAAAAACCTACCTACATACCTGATATGCACAATATTGAATTTATTAACAATATCTTCATTAAATAGTGTTCTCAGTAAATTTGTAGCATTGCCATTTGCACCAGTACATATAAAAACGATGGGATACTTTAGCTTGTAACATTCACTATAAAATATATTTACAGGAGTAATTACATTATTTTAAATTATTTTATTTCTTACTTCAAGACATTGAAAAATTCTTCAGGGTGGTATATAACAGCATTTGGAAAATCTTTAACGAAAGTAATTTTTTTAGAATTCTCACTTTCAAATAAAGGGTTCCATTTAGAATCTATCAGAAATTCCATAAACCTTTTCATTTGACTAGTTCTTTTAAAGGGTTCGTCGACTTTGTCTGTTGGATTAACCCATTCTAATACCGATATTGACAATTTTTTACAAAGCACCTTTAGAGTTGTTGTTTTTGCAGAGCCAGATGGTCCAGATAATAATAAAAATTTATTTTTCTAAAAAAAATTAATGATTGCAAAATTGAAAACTAATAACTAGGTACAATCTACTACCATTTCTTGATTTAGCACATTCAATATTAACCACTTCTGAACATCTTCTATTTTCTTTGAATGGACAGCTAAGTCCTCTATTGTTTTAGGAGCTATTTCATCATAAAAATTAAAGGAATTTCTCATTTTAATCTCAGTATTAGAACTCTGCTCCTTATTAATATTTGGTTTTTCATATTTTATTCCTAATTTAGAGTCCAACTCTAATTCTGGACCAAAGTCAAAAGATTTCCACTAAAAATATGTATATTATTTTGTTATCTCAAGAGAATTTACCTTTCTTACATTAAATCTTTTCATACTGGTAGAACCACAAAATATAATATAATATGATACAGAATAATTCCCTGACAGAGATAGAACCACAAAAAATAATTGTTTTATCTTCTGTAGTGATGGGAGAATTCGAATGCAAGAATCGATATCCATTCGATTCTTAAAAGTTCTCGCTGTTCTCGAGAACTTTTATGCCGGCATTCGAATACTTGAGAATTCATGACGAGATTTCGAGTATCCCTCAGGGTAGGTAGATAGATGGACTAGACACTAGGCGGATGTGCTTTAGAGGCCAAAATTGACTGTTTTTTAAGATTTGTTGTATTGCCAAATAATTTAAACTTTTTACTTATTTATTACTTTTTTTAAAATAATATCCCAAACTAATGATTTGCAGCCAGGCTTCATTTTAATAATAAGAATTCAATAATTATAAAATAACTAAAAACATTAATATTTAATAACGGAAAATGCTGCGTGAAACAAACCACATCTCTCGTTCGTTGCGAGGTTTACCTTAATTACTAACTGCTAAGCTACCATCGATGCGAGTACGAATAAAAATATCCCAATGATGCTTTCGAATCCACACCGTGTCGCCGACATACACCGATTCTGCATTGTCGCTGTTCTCGAGTCCTGTTCTCGGATACTCATTCGGTCTCGGTCCGGTACTCGGTTCTCGGATAATCATTCGATTCTTAAAAGTATTCGAGTACCGAGTTCTCGATTCTTAAAAATACTCGATTCTGCCCATCACTAATCTTCTGTGGTAGAACTTCAGTAACACTATCATGGAGACTACGCAAGGTCACAAGGAGCCCGAACTCCATATAAACAAAAATCTTACAAAAATAAGAAGGCGCTAGTGTTCCATATGTCCCATATGTAGAGAGGGGAGATAAAAAGCGGCAGTTTGAATTATAAATCAATCATGTCATTTTTGTGAGTAAAAAATTGTAAAATAAATAATGTAAGCTATTTTGAATTTTATAAATAATGAAAATATGTCATTCCGGACTGTAATTAAACTAAATAGATAATAAAAAATATTAGCTTTATGAGAAGAATTTGGTGTTTGTAGAAAGAAAATAGTTTTCAAGGAATTTATGAGGTGATCCAGTCAATATTAACATTATTAACCTATAAGTAAGGTTTATGTTTTTGATAATTACTTTGTTAAAGATTTTAGTTTAATGTTAGTAAAAAATAGTCACATTTTATACAGGAAGTTGCCTTTAAAAAAATAGTAATTCTTGTATTATTAATATGGAATTTTTACTTGTGGTAATAAAAAATAGAATATAAAAAAACTCGGTGTTTTAAATAAACTTTTTAAAATATTACAGATGTCCGATTTTGAGTCCAGTGATTCAGATGACTTATTAGACGCATTGTCCAGCTTGAGTGATGATGAAATAGATTTACTCTAAGAAACAGAAAGAGTAAAAAATAAGAACTACTTTGAAATTACTGTACCTGAATATAGTGGCCAAGTTTTTTTAACATTTCCGTGTTAGCATATGGGAAGTAGCTAACAGAATTGAAGAAAAATTTGCCATTTCTAATTATTTCACCCATGATTCTGGTAAATTTTGCATTGCCTTAAGCTCTACAACAACCAGAAAAGTTACATACTTGCTAAGTAACTTGTCTCCACAAATTATAGAATGGCCGAGATAATGAGGCAGTTGTAATCGAACAATATTTTGCCCAATATGAATTTCCAGAGCAGGTTATAGGAATAATTGATGGGAAAGGAATTCATATAAGATAGAGTATATCACAATCCATATTTTTTTGAATAACCAATAATATACTATATTATTATAGTGTAACTGAAAACTGACTATGGAAAGTCGATAAATTATGGTTGGACAATTTCTAAGCTGATTGCCATGTTGTCGGTTTAGACTTCTCAATGCTTCGAGAGTCATATCGCTCTCTTCTCAAAATGTCAAGAAGCTTAAAACAACATGACAACCAATTGATACCAAAATTTTAACAAAATATAGGTACTCCATTATAAAGGTCACAAAAAATAGGTAATCTAAATATTTTATAACTGTTTAAAATCGATTAGTTTTCTGGGTATATATTTTAAAATTGCTGTAAAATTTAATTCTACTTTCGTAAAATTGTTGATTTAATTCGAACGTAACATGGTTCCATGACTTATTCCAAGGTAGAGTATAGACCAAAATTAATAAGGTATTATAAAGAAATATTTTAGCAATGTTCTATATTTTTGTTATATATTTTGTAAAAATAAAATGTTTATCTACCAAAGATTTCAATGTTTTATTAATTGAATAAAAAAAACGAAATTATTTGTGCCTAATTAAAATAAAATAAATATTTATTCATAACAAACAAGTAACAAAGTAAATATATATTACAAATAAAACAACTTAAAAATAAGTAATACGTGTCAGTCTATCTTCTTAAAATTTCATTTTGTTCATGAAGCAATTGATTTCCATGTTTAAATATTTAGTAAAAGTAGTCAATTACCAATACAGATCGATCAGCATCAATTACTACACGTATCCTCTCTTTAAATTTTATATGATATCTGAATTTCAATCAGTTTTTTACTAACAGGAAAGAAACAGCAACTAATTGGAAATGATTTATTCAATTCAGTAATGATAATAGCGATGTCACCAGCAAGAATTATATGAAAGATACGAATTTAATTATTTATGCACGTAATATAAATTACAAGAATATGTAGAAATAAATAAAGTATACTTTGTTGCTATTGTCAATATTATGTGAACATATTCATAGTTGCTTTGTCGAGACCTCATCACACGTCAACAGAACTTTTCTTTTATTAGATTATACAGGACAGGATGCTCACTTTCTAGTATAATCTCATCGTAACTTAATTGCTCTTGATTTACTTGCTGTTCTTGTTGTTGTTGTTGTTGTAACTGTTGCTCTTGTTGTAGCTGCTGCACCTGTTGTTGCTGGTGTAGCGGATGCTCTTGCTGTTGATGCTGCTGCAAAATATATAAAGAAACAATGCATCATTCAATTATACAATATTTTCACTTATGAAATCTTTCTATTTAAAAATTTCTCTACCGTATTAAGAATCAAAGAAGCTGCTTCCAACTTCCGAATTATTCGACCTTTTGCCATAATATTAACCCACTATTCGGTCAAGTTGTAATATAGAACTGCTGGACATCATTAGATTGAAAATGCAGATCACAAACGTACTGTTTTATTTTAAATCTGTTGACAGTCATTCTCTTCACATACTGTTACCATATTTAAATTATTTTCGAAACTTTTTATTTACCATTTATAAAAACAAATTGTAATAATTATTGACTTGACTTCTAGTTTTTAGGTTAGCATACCTCCCCGATATATTTACTAAACTCATTTATAATAAAATTGGTTATTTGTATCGATCTTTTAGTACTAGATACTGCACGTGATCTGTGATACTGCATAGTAGTGATGGGAGATTTCGAGTGAAAAATCGAGTGGTACTCGATTATTGAGATCACTCGAGATATCTCGAGATGTTTACTCCCACCACTCGAGTGATTATTACCCTACGGTTGCACCCCAAAATGTTAGTGCATACTGCAAATAGTCACTGATTGCGTAACCTTTTTTTTCGAATAAAACGAAAAAGTGGTTAGGTTTTGAAGTGCGTGAGCTTTTTTTTTTAGCTACGTTTATAAGTAATATGTGACTAATACAAACATATTTGTGCGCCGCTGGGATGAAAACGACCAATATCTCGTATCTCGAGTGATCACTCGATTATTAGAAGTATACAAAACTAACAATGAAAAATGCAGAACTAAAATAAAAGAGAAATATTAAATTACCATAACTAATATAACCATATATGTTGCATAACTTTAATAAGGCCCGGTTTTTCAATCACATATGCTTGACGAACACATTAAAATGAAGATTTCGCGATAGTAGGTAATACTCGTATACAATTTAAAGCTAATTTACAAATACATTTTTGATTAAGTTAACCTTCAATTTTGGAGTAAATTGTTATTTCTTAATTTCAATAGAAGAAAATAAATTCGGGGTTAACTGCTAGTTAGCGATAACCAACAATTAAAAACTGGGCCTAAAAGTTATGAACATTTCAATAGTTACAGAATTTCAAACTTCATCTCGAAAGTGTTTTACCACTGCATTTCCCATCATTAGCTTGGAATATTTACGGTTTTTCTAATCTGAAAGAGAGATTCTTATTTGAATGAAAAAATTTAAAAAAATAATATAGAACTTATACACATAAAATTATACATTGAAAATAGTTTGCTACTGAACAAAATAATACATTAACTTCAGGCTTCTTTAAAATCTGAGCCCATAAATTTCCATTCAGCATTTACGAATGTATGTTATGAAACATTTGGTAAAATTATTGATGGACCTCGTCTTTTAACACCAAAAAAATATAATGTATAATATGCAAGAATACCAGTTTATTCATCAATTTTGTTAAATACAAAATGTAATCGTCATATGTATAGGTATTGCAAGATTTCACTATTTATAAGATTTGTAGAAACAAAAAAAAAAGAAAATTAATATAAAAAATATATTAGTTTATATATTAGTAATATTAAGCTGTGCCTGATCCATCCACTTTCTAAACAGAGCTATATCGTTTTTTGGAAAAGTATGTCTTACTGTACAAATCGTTACAACCGGACACAACGCACTTCCTATTAGTCCATTGAAATGAAGGCTGAACCTCCATTTTTTCCTCTGTCGATCAAACCTGGGCGCAAATATGTTTTCGATCCTCAGGAATCCGAATCCGCAAAAATTTTTGACCTAGGTGGTCAGGAAAGGGGTCAAAAGGTCAAAAAACCGTAAAAAATAAGGTTTTTCGCAAATATCTCGTAAACTACGGCAAGTAGCAAAAAAATAATTGCACCATCGTGTTCCCAGGGAAATTTTACATCGATTTTATGCTATTGCTTATTAAAATTAAATAAATTTATGTCAT